GGCTGGAGTGCAGTGGCGTGATCTCAGGTCACTGCTCCCTCTGCCTCCCAGGTTCAAGTGATTCTCCTGCGTCAGTCTCCCAAGTAGCTGAGATTACAGGCACGTGCCATGATGTCCAGCTAATTTTTGTGTTTTTAGTAGAGACAGAGTTTCAGCATGTTGTCCAGTCTGGTCTCAAACTCCTGATCTCATGAGATCTGCCTGCCTCAGCCTCCCAAAGTGTTGGGATTACAGGCGTGAGCCACCACGCCTGGCCAAAATGTAGGCACAGGTTTAACTAGTTTTCTGTTTGTTTCCAATCTCGATTAAACTCACTAAATTTAGGGGGAAAACTCGTGTTTTGGCCCAGTCTCAAACCGGCGACCTTTCGCGTGTGAGGCGAATGTGATAACCACTAAATTACAGAAACCAGGCATGGGCCCACTTTTTATTCATGAGCTTGCCAGTCTTTGGAGGCAGCAAAACCATGGGACAATGCCTGCATGGGGTGTGGGAAGGCCTACAAGCGAAACACATTTCCCCTACGTATGATTTGCTATGTTGTTTGGGGAGTAGACAGAATTCTAAGATGGCCTGCAAGATTTCTGCCCTGTGATATATACAACCTGTATAATTCTCTCTCCTTGAGGACCTGTAAATATGATGGGATGCCACAAGGTTTGTGATTAGGTTACATTAGATAGCAAAGGTGAAAGTGCCCATCTGGTGGCAAGCAGCCAGCTGTAGTGGGGGTTTATCACTTTGCCCTCTAAATGCATTATTGTGCCACTGCTACCCTGCCTGCCTTTGTCCCTTAGGGTCTGGAACAGAGCCAAGCCTGTCTAGGGGGCGGTTTTGAGCTGGTCTGTGGAAGACCTTAGAGATGGTTTTGTTTGTTTTTCTTTCTTTAGACAGTCTTGCTGTGTTTGCCCAGACTGGAGTGCAGTGGCACAATCTCGGCTCACTGCAACCTGTGCCTCCCAGGTGCAAGCGATACTTGTGCCTCAGCCACGCAAGTAGCTGAGACTACAGGTGCACGCCACCATATCTGGCTAATTTTTGTATTTTTATTTTTTGAGACAGAGTCTTGTTGTCACCCAAGCTGGAAGGCAGTGGTGTGATCTCAGCTCACCGCAACCTTCGCCTCCTGGGTTCAAGTGGTTCTTCTGTCCCAGTCTCCCGAGTAGCTGGGATCACACGTGTGAGCCACCGTGCCCAGCCTATTTTTGTATTTTTAGTAGAGACGGGGTTTCACCATGTTGGCCAGGCTGGTCTGGAACTCCTGACCTCAAGTGATCTGAAGTGATCTGCCTGACTCGGCTTCCCAAAGTGCTAGGATTACAAGCGTGAGCCACCATGCCTGGCCACAACCTTATAGATGTATGATGGGTTTCACTTCCCTTAAAACCACTTCCTCTTTCCCTTGCCATCTTCACAGGTCTCTGCCCTACCCAGGGGGAAGCTATCAGATAATTTTACCTATGTTGTGGTTATAACTTAATAGAAGTTAAAAAAAGAAAGAAAGAAAGAAAGAAAGAGAGAAACCCCAAGGTCAGTACTTAAACTGGGGAACTAACTTGTTAATAATGGTGGAACACCAGGCAGCATGAGAGCTGGTAAATTGGGAGATTTGGGCCTTATCCTCACTACATGCCCCATCCTTACCCTCTGCAACACACATGTCACCTACACACAGCAGCGTGGTAGAATGAGAATTAAGAGAAACTCAGAGCCCCAGATTTAGCGGTAGGAGTGCAGGATTCGAATCAATTGTAGGCTTTGCCATCTGCTGTGACCTTCGCCTCCTCTCTTGGAGCCTGTTACCCCATCTGTAAAATGAGGAGGAAATACTGACTAGGGCCATGATTCTTTACCCTGGTTGCTCACTAGATTCACATGGGAGGGTTTCAAACAATACAGATGCCTGAGCTCCACACTCGGAGATGTTAATAGAATTGTTCCATGGCATGGCTGGTATATTAATTTTTTTTTTTTTTGAGATGGAGTTTCACTCTGCTTTCTAGGCTGGAGTGCAGTGGCATGATCTCGGCTCACTGCAGCCTCCTCCTCCTGGATGCAAGCAATTCTCCTGCCTCAGCCTCCCGAGTAGCTGGGACTATAGGCGCCCGCCACCACGCATGGCTAATTTTTTGTATTTTTTGGTAGAGACGGAGTTTCACCGTGTTAGCCAGGTTGGTCTCTATCTCCTGACCTCATGATCTGCCCGCCTCGGCCTCCCAAAGTGCTGGGATTACAGGTGTGAGCCACTGCGCCCGGCCCTATTTTAAAATTTTTTGTAGAGATGGGGGGGTCTTGTTATGTTGCCCAAGGTGGTCTCGAACTCCTGGGCTTAAGTGATTCTTGCGCCTCGGCCTACTAAAGGGCTGGAATTAAGGCCCAGTTTTTAAATACAAATAAAATGAGAACTTAACGCTTGGGTGGAGAACAGTGCCACCTGCTGGTTTCACTTTGCATTAGCAATATCTAAATATCTGCCAATGCCATGTAATGCAATTCGCTGTTTATTGAGCACCAACGCAACATGCAAGGCATTGTGATGCACCCTATAGGACATGCAGAGATAAAAGCTCCTTTCCCCATGAAGCTGACGGCCTAGAGGGGACAATCGGCATGTACATAAAACCTTTGATCCAAAGTGGGCAGCTGACATGGTCCCACTGCGGTTCTGTGGTAATACAAGAAACAAACCTGGGGCCAGGGCTGGCTTCATGGGTGTGCAGCCTATGCTTGAAAGGGCTGTGCACTTGGTTTCATCATTTCCTGTGGCTGTCTTGAAATTCTTTTCTTTTTTTTTGATCCTGTGTTCAGTCGAATTGAAATTCTTTAATACTTTTTGAACAAGGGGCCATTTTGCACTGGGGCCCACAAATGATATAGCTGGTTCTACCTAGGGTAGTTTGGGAAATTTTGGAAGAGGCGACATATGACCGGGCAGGGCAGTAGTGGAGGGAGAGGAAAACAGGAGGCACATTGTAGTGTGGAAGGGGAGGTGGGATCCTTAGGCCTGGGTGACTGGGTGGTGTGGGGGAAGGAGTTAGAGCTGGTGCTGCAAGGCAGGTGGAGAGGGAAAGGGGTTCGATATAAGATGACTTCAGACTCAGTGCAAGGAAGACCTCTAAGGACAGTTTCAGCAGCTGGAACTCAGAAGGTAGGCCAGGGCTGGAACTTTGGTCACACACTTCCAGATGGATACCTTGGTGACACCAAAGGTTATAATATCCCCTGAGATGGGTGAGGACTAAGACAGAGCTGTTTGGCGGGGCCTCGGCTTTCGGCCCAAACTAGATTGTTGGCTTCTAGGACTCCTGCCTTGAGGAGTGGTGGAGGAAGACTTTGGAGCAGGGCTGGACAATGAGCGCTTGAGCCCTAATTCCCCATGTGATGTGCTATGACACTCTTCTCAGCCTCTTTCCTCCTGGCTGCCTGCTTCAACACCACCATGGACGGTGAGTCAAGCACTCATTTCAGAGATATTTCCCATTCAACTCATTCGCTGCATTCCTCTGCCAAGATTCACCTTCAGGGGCCACAGACTTCTTCCTCACCTCTCACAGTGGGCTGCAGCCTGCTGACCGCAGATGACAGAATTTAGTCAAGACTTTGGGAAGGCTAAAGAACACACCTTGTTTCTTCTCCTCTGGGTATTGTTAGTTTCTTTTTTCTCATGGGACTTTCCATACCCTGTGGGGGGAGGAGTTTTACAAGAAATTAGCTCTTCCTTAGGAGGTCAAGTTCTTCCCCAGCGGGTTAGAACCTGGAACCCACATTTCAGACCAGTTTTCCCATCAGGCACCACCAGAGGCTAGTACAGGTAGCTGGCACCCATGATACTTATCTGTATCCTTGATTCCAACAGTCCAAGCCAGTGTTCTGCCTGTTTTTTTTTTTTTTTTTTTTTTTCTTCCCTACCTAGCACAGACTAGGTAGAGGGTGGGTAGGGTGGTCAGGAATAGATTGTGATTCTGTCCATCAGCCCCATGTAGAGAGGCCCCTCTCTCAACTATGTTATTGCCCAGTCAATCCCAGGAGTTCTGCCCAGGGCTATCCTGGGAAAGCTTTGTTTCGAAAGGGTCCTGTGGTCACCTCTGGGCCTGGGGTGCACCCTTGCTTGGGATGGAGAGATAGCTGGTAGGGTAACATCCCCAGGGCAGGGACGAGGACTCAGGATGCCAGCTGCCTCTGCACCCTGTTCCTCCTCTAGAAAATGTCAAAAAGGTAGGTGCTCTGCTCCATCAGACTTGTGGTTATTTTCTTTCTGTGCAGGTCCCCTTTTTGTGTGTGTGGGTGCGAGGGTTGGGGGAGGCACACTTGGGGAGGTGGCTCATACAGACCAAACTCTGCCTTGGATAGGGTTAATTTTAATGCAGCCGTGGAAACCCTGATCCTCAGGACTGCATCCTGCTGGGCCTGTGGGAGAAGTGACTTGGGGGACAGTTAAGGCGGCAAGACCTCATCACTGTTCAGGCACCTGCCCAGCCACCACAGCTGTAGGCCAGGGAGCAAACACAGGCAAGAGTACTATGCTTGGCTGCAGTCAGAGGGATTCTCAGGAGGAGCAGGTCTTTGTGCTCCAGGGAAGGACACAGTGCTCTAGGTGGGAACTGGTGTCCCAGGTGGGACCAAATGCCCCAGGTGAGACTCAGAGAGACCCAGTGCTACACGTGGATCTAATATTCCAGGCAGGACCTGGTGCTCCAGGGTCCTCGTGCCCCAAGAGCTTGCCCCCCATGCCTGGGTGTGTGAAGCTGTGTGTTTTCTCTTCAAGAGAGGACACAGATGCCTGGAGGGTAAATGTCTCGGACTTGGCTCCTCTGGGCATGTGAAATTGTGTGTGAGAGGCAGGGAGAGCTGAAGAGAGAAAAGGACAGAGGGATAGGGCCACACAAATAGATCCGTAGACTAAGTACTGAGGGGGAGGGGGGAGAGAGAGGTTTAGAGACAGAGTGAGAAGAGATGAAGACAGGGAGAGCCACACACGATGGACACAAAGACAGCACCACTCAGGTCGTGTCTTCCTGTATGTGTAAGGACGAGGGAGGGAGTAAGCCGGGTAAGAGCCACCAGGCCCGCTTTCTAGGGTGAGCCTTCAGCTGCCCTTCTACAGCAAAGGGGCAAGGAAGCAGGGCCTAGATCCCAGAAACACGTCCCCGCGCCTGGCTCGGGCACAGCCCTCCGCGGTGGGCAGCCGGGATTCCCGGGCGCGCCTAAGTCTGGATGAAGAGGTGGAAGTTGGTGCGCGTGAACTCCTGATGGATGCTCTCCAGAAGCGCGTCGGCGTCGGTGGCGGGCTCGGGGACGCCGGTGTGACCCGGCCGCGCGCTGTATTCCGGGGTATAGGTGAAGGAGAAGGCACTAGGGTAGAAGAGCCCGTCGGAGCGCACCAGGCTCACGGGGATTGTGATGGGAGCGCGCAGCCAGCGCCAGTCGCTGCAGAAGGCCGCCACGTCCGGCACCACGCACACCAGGGACCGCGGGCTCCTGGGGGTGGAGCACCAGGGTGAGAACTGCGGCGACTCTGACGACGCGTGCGCCCCCTTCCCCAGCTCCCTGGGGCCCAAGGGAGGCTGCCTCCCCACCCCGTACCTGTACATGGTTTCCGCCTCCACGTCCCCAAACCACACCTTGAGCCCCGCATGGAAGTTCTCTCCGTGGAGCTCCAGCGTGGCCACGTCGCCCCCGCCACTCAGCTGGGGGAGGGTGGGACCAGGTGAGGTGAGAGAACCGAGCAGGGCGGGAACCTGATGCCCCCCACTCACTAGCACTCCCACTCTCCACTGCAGGCAAGGTCCCCCTGCCCAACGCCCCTAGCGCCCGGCTTCACCTCTAGGGTGCTGATGAGAGGCACCGGAGTGACCGGTTCCAGGGTACACGCCAGACTGGTGCTGAAGGAAAATTCCACCGACTCGGTGCCGATGATGGTCCAGCAAGAGCTGTCATTAAGCAGAGCCCTGTTCGCCTCCTTGGGGCAGGGAGAAGCCTGGGAGGAGACCCGAGGGGACGAGGCCGAAGCTTCTCATGGTGGCCACCAGCCTAGGGAGCCAGCATGGCACGTGGGCTTCTGCATTAGACTGAACTGGATACTAATCCTAGGCTCTGGGGTTCACTTGTCCCCTCAGCTTGGACAGTGCCCTTAAGTTCTCTCACTTAGAGTTAAGTAAGCTTGTTGGGCTAGTTGATTTTTCCTTCCTTCCTTCCTTCCTTTCCTTTTTCCTCCCCTTCTTCCTTTCCTTCCTTCCTTCCCCTTCCTCCTTCCTTCCTTCTTCCTGCCTTCATTTTCCTCCCCTTCTCCCCTCCTTACCTTCCTTCCCTTCCTTAGTTTTTGAGACTCGAATCTTGCTCTGTCACTCCACTGGTGCAAGTGCCTGATCTCCAAGCTCACTGCAACCCTCCACTAGTGGGTCAAACGATTCTCCTCCTGCTCCTCTGCGCAGCCTCCTGGGTAGCTGGGAATTACAAGGTCCCCAGGCCACCACACCCCCCCAGGACTAAAGTTTTTTCTCTGTAATTTTTAGTAGAGACGGGGTTTCACCATGTTGGCCAGGCTGGTCTCAAACTCCTGGCCTCGTGATCCTCCTGCCTCAGCCTCCCAAAGTGTTGGGAGTACAAGTGTGAACCATTGGCCCGGCCTGGGATAGTTGATTTCTAAGGGTCTTTTTTCTTGGGATTCCAGAATTCTGTTTTTTTTTTTTTTTACACTTTGTACAATTCTATGCTCTAATAATCTACAATTTTAATATTCTTTGGGAAGGAATATTGTTCCTTTGGGAAGGAATATTCTTGGGGAAGGAATAATACTTGCTATTTTCCACATATTATAATTCAATCTCCTAACATTCTATGATAATACTCTTTTGGGAGTACTACTGCTTAATGATAATTATGATTTTCCACATTCTATAATTTCCTACATTCTGTGTCTTTATCTGTGCTTCAAATAGTCTTTGCTCAATAATTCTCTGCTCTCTATTACCTATCATGATTTTTATTTACATTCTACAATTTTATATCCCAATTTATTATTATTATTTTTTGTGATGGAGTCTCGCTCTTGTCACCCAGGCTGGAGTGCAATGGTATGATCTCGGCTCACTGCAACCTCCACCTCCCGGGTTCAAGCGATTCTCCTGCCTCAGCCTCTTGAGTAGCTGAGATTACAGGCACACACGACCATGGCCAGCTAATTTTTGTATTTTTGGTAGAGATAGGATTTCACCATGTTGGCCAATCTTAGTCTCAAACTCCTGACCTCAGGTGTTCTGCCCACCTCAGCCTCCCAAAGTGCTGGGATTACAGGCGTAAGCCACCGCGCCTAGCTATATCCCACTATTTTATGACTCTAAAATTCTTTGGGAAGGAATATCACTTCATACTATTACTTATTACTATTTTTCTACATCCTATGATTCTGTCCTGGGGTCTATGATTTTAATGTTCCATGGGAGGCTGCTCAGGAAGTAGCAACCATGGTGAAGATGATGATCTTACATTCTGTGGTTCTCTGCAGTCTCACTTTCCAGGACACTTGGTGCTGGTATTCTCTGCTTCTTACCTGAAATTGCACCACCTTCTCTGTGGCAAGGCATAAGTAGGTGCCACCCCCTCCTGGGGGACTGCCAGGAAACTGCAATGCACACTTGTGCAGCTGGGAGATGGGCTCATCCACATCAAGGAGCGCACACTGTTTGGCTACTTTACGAATGATCTGCAATGGAAGAGTGGTAAGAATGGTGGTGGCAAGGAGCCTGGGTATCCAGAGGCTGCCCTCCCAGCCGGCTCTCTGCTACTCCAATAGCCACACAGGCACTAGCAGACTCCCGCTGAGCTTTGACTTCTGTCTGGTCCTAAGCGACACTGGGTGAGAATAGCTGTCTCCCTGCCTTGGGGCCTCACTCTCCAGCCCTGCCTGTGTGTGCCACATTCTCTGCATAGATCTGAGGGGACCCCTCCAGGCATACCCTCCCTTCCTATACCATGGGAGGTAGAGTGATGCCGGTGAGCGTGCAGACGAGCTGCACCAGGGAGCCATAGCGAACGTAGCCCTCTCGCGGTGGGAAGTCTCCTTGGGAAGAATGCCCATCAGCTGGGGGTCAAAAAAAAGCAAGAGACAAGGTTTTCAGCTGCCCCCAAGTTTCTGCCTTAAACCCTGCCTTCTTGCCTCTGGCTCTTCCTCACATCACACATGGGCCCTGCGGGAGGGGGTGGTTCTCAGGGGAGCCGCTAACACTGAAGTTTTTAATTCTGGAGAGGCCATCTGAGGCCATCCTCACAAATGTCTACCCTGGGGGCAGGGGTTGGGGGCAGGCAATTTAGTTGATATAAGGGGAAAGGGCATGGATAACAGAGTCAGAATAGCTTGGAACAGTCATCAGCTCATTGGGACTGTGGTCCAGTCTTTTTGTGTTTCTGTGCCTTAATCACATGGGGCAGAGTTTACCTTCCTTAAGGAATTGTGGTGGAAGTTAAATAAGCTAATGTATGTGAAGTGCCAGCCCCAGGGCCTGCAGATGTCATTACCCAGGTGGAGTGTGAAGGCAGCCCACTGTCGCGCACTGGCCACAAAGGCCCCGTCCTCCACAGAGAGGTAGCGTGTGGAGACTGTCTGAGAGCGCAGGCGGTTGAAGAGGGAGACCTTTGAGCCGGAGGATATGCACACTGTGAGGGTGAGGGTGAGGGTTAGGGTGAGGGTGAGGGTGAGGGTGAGGGTTAGGGTGAGGGGACAGGGTTAGGATTAGGGGTTAGGGTGAGGGTGAGGGTGAGGGTTAGGGTAGGGTGAAGGTGAGGGTGAGGGTTAGGATTAGGGTGAGGGTGAGGGTAAGGGTTAGGATTAGGGTGAGGGAGGGGGTGAGGGTTAAGGTTAGTTGGTGCTATCAGTGCCCTGGCCTGGCTTGGTCCCTTGGATGTTCCAGACAGTTTCCAATCCTCTGGCCCTGTGCCGGCCTGGCTGATGTGCCTATGGACCTAGACACATTGGGCAATGTAAACTGGGCATTCCCAGTTCACAGCTATTTTTCTAGGGCCTGCTGCAGTCCTGGTTTGGAACCTCTGCCTGCTCCTTTTGCTGCCTGGACATCGTTCAGTTCATAAACAAAAGTAAAACTTGTTTATTATTTATTTATTTTTTTGAGACAGCATCTCACTCTGTCACCCAGGTTGGACTGCCGTGGTGCTATCACAGTTCACTGCAGCCTCGACCTCTTGGGCTCAAGTGATCCGCCCACCTCGGTCTCCTAAATTGTTGGGATTACAGGCATGAGCCACTGTGCCCCGCTTATGTCACTTTTAGTCTGTCCCTAATTCAACCCCCCTGCCTAGTTCAAACTCTGTCTAGTTCAACTTTTGTCTGTTCTGGGACCCCAACTCCCAACCTGGAATTTGGTATCTATCCCTTTCCTCTCTGCTTTTCATCCTCCAACTCTTCTCATCCCCAGGCCTGGGCCGCACCCTCTCATCCAGACTCCTTCCCTTCTCAGCTCCCACTCTACCTTTTCCACTCTGACCCCACCCCTATAGTGCAGCCTACCCCCACCTGGGGTAGCTGCTCTGGGCTTGGATGCACCTCCCGCATCAGGCCCCGCCCTGCTCACGATCGGTGTTTTTGAGCGACTGCTTTTTCTGCGAGGGCTTCGAGATGACCTTGATGAGGCGGCTGTGGAAGGTTCCCAGTTCCCGGCCCCCGCGCAGCACCAGCCGCAGCACCAGCCGGAAGTGCTTCCTCTTGTCTGCATCTGAGATGTACAGGGTCTTGGCGCAGCCGAATTCCTAGGGGGCTCGCGGGGATAGGGCCGTCTCATCCCAGCCCTCCCCTGTCGGATGAACCAACCTCTCCCAGATATCGGACGTCCGCCCCGTCGGAGGTGACCAGAAGCTCCACCATCCAGACTCTCAGGCTCTGCCTTAAGGCAGGACCGTGGCCTCCCGGTCTCCCCACCTATCTCTTGGCTTTCGGAAGGGAGTGATAAAGGAGACCTCCTTTCCCAGGAGAGGCAGGGATGGGAGCAGGAATCGGACCCCTTCCCGTGCGCTCTCACCCTGGAGTCTGGCTGCTGCTCGAAATTCAGCTTCTGTGTCTCAGCGGCGCTGCCAGACGCGCTGTCCAGTCCCATGTAACCGCAGACCGTGGGCCCCGTCTCCCCGGCCTGGTGAGCTGGAAAGGGACGCGAACTGGCTCTGGAAGGACTCGGGAGGACGCAGGTGCCAGGCAAGCTTAGCGCTCGCCGCCAGAGGGCGCGGGGAAACTGCGCCTGCGAACCGCCCCTCTCTCGGGCCCAACCTCGTGCTTCTCCCTACAGAGCAGGCGGCCGGCAGCCCTTGAGTCCGCCCTCACCTTGGTCCTGCCCTGGCTTCACCCTCCATCCGGGCCCTGAGAGGTAGACACAGGGCGGGGGGCAGAAGAACCTGCGGAGATAAGTGAGTGATGGATTCGTGCATCCATCTCCACTCGGCTGTCCTGTAAGCACCGCAAGGTAGTAGCATAAACCCAGCAGAACCTTCGTTTCCTCCTCCCGCTCCCACCCCCCTCCCCACGCTTTTTCATGACTGTAAACCCCATTCACACCCAAACCCTTATTGTTTTTACATCCCTCATTCAACTCATCAGAAAGTCTTATCCACTCCACCTTCAAAATATAATATATTCAGAATCCACTGGCTTCTTACCACCTCACCCTTCATCCCAGCCGCCATTACTTTTTGCCTGGACCACAACATCAACCTTCAAACTGGTTTATTTCCAGAAAGTTCTGTTTCTATCTCCTTCCCATTTCACACAGCAGCCACAGTGCTCCCTCCTTCTCCCCTCCCCTCCCCTCCCTCCCTCTCTCTCTCTCTCTCTCTCTATTTCTCTGTTTCTGTCTTTCTCTCTTTCTTTCTTTTTCTTTTTTTACTTTTTATTTTGAGACAGGGTCTTGCTTATTGCCCAGCTGGAATCAGTAGTTGGATCTCGGCTGTCTCGGCTCCTGCAACCTCTGCACTCCCCAACGATCCTCCTACCTCAGTCCTCCTGAGTAGCTGAGCTACAGACACGAGCCACCACACCATCTAATTTTTGATTATTTTGTACGACCATGGTTTGTCATGTTTCATGCAGATCTGGAACTTCGGCTCGAGCAATTCGGACCACTGGGCCTGCAAGTGCCTGGGGATACCAGGGATGACCCAGGCTGGTCAGAATGTTTTGTTAGAAACGTCAGTCAATCATGTTAACTCCTTAAAATCTCCCTGGTTAAAATAAAATTTCCTCCGCGATCTGACCTGCTGCTTCCCCTTCCACTGTTTCCTACAACTCCTCTCTCTGATTTCAGCACTGTGACTTCTTTTGTTACCTCAAACAGGCATAGATGGGTACAGCCTTCAAGTCTTCTCTTTTCTGTTGCCTTTTTTTTTCTTTTTTTTGAGACTGGAGTCTGCTCGTTGCCAGGGCTGGAGTGAAGGGCATGATCTCGGCTCACTGCAACCTCTGCTCCTGGGTTCAACCAATGGTATCCTGCTCAGCTCCTGAGTAGCTGATTACAGGCCTTCTCACCGCCATGCCAAGCTAATTTTGTATTTTGGGTGTGATGAGGGGGTTTCAATATTGGCCAGGTGGTCTCGAATTCCTGACCTCAGGTCATTCTGGCCCACCTGGGACCTCCCAATTTGGCTGAGATTACTATTGTAGTGAGCATGCGCCCAGCCCTTTCTTTTTCCTTCTGAAATTGTAGCATGGCTTTCCCCAGATTTTTTCTCCGTCTGCTCCATTTTAACCATTCATTCAGTTCCATGGTTCCTTTCCCAAAAGGTCTCTTGACCTCCTTGACCTTTCTAGCTAATGTCTCCCCTGCCTCCAGTTTCTGTCAAATGGCCTTGTCCAGTTTTCCTTCTAGTGCACATCATAATCTGCAAGTGTCTTGTTTACTGATTTGTGGGGAGTTTACTGTCTGTCTCTTCCACACTTGAGTGAGAGTGTGGGCTAAGGAGCAGGGGCTGTTTCTGTCTTGTTCAGCTGTATGCCCAGTGCCCAGCAGTACCCACAGTACCTGGTGCATACATGATAAACACTCAGTAAGTAGTTGTTGAATGAATCAATAAGTGAAAAAATGGGAGAATGAGTGAATGAATGGAGACAGGAGATTCACAGGAAATCTCCTGCTATAGAACTATAGACCAAAGTGGGGGCTAATGGTGGCTGAGGGTCAAGGCCCTGGTCGACCAATAGCTGAGATTTCAGCCCTGAGGCCTCTTCTGGGTCTAAAAGAGGCCCAATGGGTGGATGGAGGGGTGCATAGGGCTGACAGTTGCAGAGACTTGGGAGGGGCTGCCGAGGCACCTACCGCTTCTCATTTCCGTACGATTTCTGGGCCACCTTGGCATGCACGATCCGCACAGTCTGTTCACACTGTTGCTGCAGGCACCTGCGCACGCCTCCCCTCAGAATGGTGGTGTGCTCTGGGGATGACCTGGGAGTGGAGCAGGCAGGTCGACCGGCCACAGGAAGAAGGGTCAAGGTGGCACAGGGTCCAAGTACTCAGGTTGAGTAAAATGAAGTGGGCAGGAGGTTAGAGTAAGTGGGGGGGGTGCTGCTCTATATTCTGCCCCCGTGGGATCAGGAAGAGGAAGCATTAGGTAAGGAGGAGACTTGGCTGAAGATTGCAGGCTAAATATTTAGGCTGCGAGGTGCTCAATGAGGCCTGCATGGAGCCCACGGGACCACCCAGGTTCCTCTCTGCGGGTCTGGCACCATGCCCATTGGAGCCCAGGGCCATAGGGATACGTGGCTGTGACACAAAGGCCACACTTATACAGGCCTTGGGATGGAGAAGAGTATTTTAGGGCTGATGGAATTAGTAGGGATGAAGCTTCCCCATCCTAGGCAGCAGGGAGGGGAAGGGGGAGCCTTTGTTGGGCTCCTGGCCTGGAGCGCTCTCTAGCCTCCTGCCTGCAAACAGAAAAGGGCCCAAAACCTTGTCCCCAGGATGGGGGGTGGCCTGGGGGAATCTGAGCCTTTCTGAGGCCAAAGTCATATTCTTCCTTTTTTCCCATGAGAAGTGACCTGTTGCTGTGTTGGCTTTCCTTCCCTTGATTACAGAAGTCAAGGCAGATGACATTGGTTCTGCAGTTAGCCAGGTTACAGCCTAGAGGCCTGGTGGCTTCTCAGTCTGGGGTTCTTGAGCGGTGTGGGTGGGTGGGTTCAAGCAATTGCAGGGAGTAAGTAGAGGAGGGGAGGTGGGAGACCTTTGGGGGGTTAGCAGGTTGAGGCCAGGAGAGCCATGAAAACTGAGGCTGTCCTTCTGAGCCCTTTATCCTCTTGGCAGGACCGGAGTCTCTCCTCACTCCTGGAGGGGACAGCATAGGACCGCACCCTCGAAAGCCAGGCCAGACACGCAGCAGCCACAGCCAGAACCGCTCCACCCCTTGGGGCTCTCCTTAGGGAAGTGCCTTCTAAGCTTCCAATGAATTCCGGCTGCGGAGTGTGGCTGCCCCAGTCTCCCCAGTCTCCTGCTGTAGCCGAATTCCAGCCTGGCCCGCAGCTAGCCCTGTCTGCAGCTCCAAGGGTGGTAGGAGCAGGGGGTGCTGGGTTCGCCCCGCCTCAGGAGGAAGGGGGGGATGCCTCCCTGCCAGTGGGAGGGGTTGCAGCCTGCGCTTCCCCTCCCCACCCACCAGCCCTGGGTTAAATGCGGCCGCCGCCTCTGCGTGCTCCAGCTGCCTGGCAGTCCCCACCTAGGGCACGCTGCCACATCGTTACCTGGTCCAAGTGCCCGGGAGGCTCCGCCTGTCGGCTTCGCTCTGCAGTTGCATCTCTGATCTGTCCGGCAGGCTCAGGTGAGTCAAAGGGTTGGGAGGCATTGAGGGGTCTGCAGGGGAGTAGGCATCAAGCCAGATCAGGCAACTGTATTTTAGCAGAGGCACCGCCTATGGTGCCCTGTCTGACCTGCAGTGCCCTTCCCCACTTCTGCAGGGTCCTTTCCAAATCGAGCCCCCACCAGCAAAGCCATCAAAATAGGGTCATCCCTTTTCTACTCTCGTCCCTCCAGGTACCCCCTGAAATGTCCCTAAGGGACATTTGAGAAATTATTTACAGGCCTCTCCTCCCTTGCTGCTCCACTCCCTCAGCCCCACCTCAGGGCATCTCTGAATCTTTCTTTTTAATGCAAGGATTAACTCCTCAGAGGAATCCCGAGTTCTAGTGTCAATCCTGCCAGACATCGCTGTGTGCCCTTCAGCAACACACTACCCTCTCTGGACCTAGTTCCTTTCTTTGTAGAATGAGGAGTTTGGAAAGGTGATGAACTTCGAGGCAGTCGCTGTTGTGACTTTCTAGGATTCCTGGGGTGGAGGCAGGGTGCCAGGTGAGAAGTTGGCTCAGACCAGGAATGGGATGAGGGGAACCTTAACCAAGATTTGGGGGCCCAGAGGCATCTCCGGGTGGGAAAGTATGGGAGGTGGCAGAGGCCCCTTGTGCCTTAGCCCTCATGCTGCCCAGGGATGCTGGCCTCGCCTGTGGCCCAAACCAGAGAAGGGTTCCCCGCCCTCCCACTTCCACCAGTGCTGCCACATCTTGCTTGGTCACCCTCCCACGACCGGCCCTGCCAGAGGGATTTCTGTTCTTCTACCAGGCCTGGGAGGGGAAAGGGGAGAAGAATCCAGGATGAGAAGGTCGCCTGGAGTGAGAAGCAGGCCCTGGCCTTGCTCAGAATAGGCGCATTCACGGAATTGGGGGGCGGGGGCGGGGCTGCGGTTGGGTTAGGGGCGGCTGGCTCTCTCTGCCAGGAAACAGCAACAGAAAAATGGCTAACACAGCTTCAGCATGGGGCGCGGGGGTGGGGTAGGAACTGGAAGGAAAAGAGGTTTAGTGACTTCTAGGCGCCAGGGGGCCTCAAGAGGGAGAAGGGGAACCAGGAGCCCTAGGTTCTAATCCTGCTTTTGCAGCTCCGCGGGCTGCCTTCTTGGGGCTTAGTTTTCCTATTTGTACAGTGGGGCGGGGTGGGGGGCGTCCTTCGTAGTTCTCACGGGGCGTCTCCGGGCCACGGGAGGGTGAGCGCTCACCTGCTGCCCCTGCAGTGTCCGTGGCGACTCTACGGGGCCCCAGCTGCTCACTCGTCACCCCCGGACGAGTCCAGTGCTGCTGTGGCTGGAACCCTGCACACCCCTGCTCCCTAGCTCCTGCGCGGGATATATCCTGTCCAGGCCTTATCTCCAAGGCCCCGGGCCCCAGCCCCCTGTTTGCTCGGGGTTGGCGCACCTGCTGGGCAGATGTGGGCTTCCCACGCCCCCTGCCGTCTCGGGCGTCCCCTGGCGGTCGCTCCTGAGAGCAGGCGGGAAACAGGCGCCAAGCCGCGCGTTCTTGTGCGCGGTGGGTTTTGGTCCACTCGCTGCCGCGCCACCGCGCTCAACCTCCGCAACAGGGCGCAGCCCCTCCCCGCCGCCTGCGGTTGGGCAGTACGTGTCTGTGTTTGTGTGTATGGAGGGGTCTGGCGGGTGGGGGTGTTGGCGAGTTGCAAAGACAGCCACACAGAACCTTGTGTGCGTAGGGGAGTGGGCCGAGGTGGAGAAGGGCTTCTGTCTGCAGAGATTCGCCTGGCAGGAGGAGAGGCACCAAACGCCCAGAATGGCTCACAGAAACCTGCAGGCGTGGGATTCTGTCCTGTCGCAGCCATTTTTTGGCCGAATGACTTTAGGTACCAGCGCTTAACTTTTCTGAGCCTCAATTTCCTTGTCTGTATGATAGGGACAATCACAGCCTTACTCTTACAATTGCAGAGAGGATAAAATGCCACAATGCGTGACGAGCATTTAACACTGTGCCTGATATTTAAGAAAGACCTGTTTTTTTTGTTGTTGTTGAAATTTTTTGTATTTGTATCTATGTATCTATTCTTATTTAGTATTCTGCAGTTCCACAAATCATCTCTCGTGGGCTGAGCGCGGTGGCTCATGTCTGTAATCCCAGCACTTTGGGAGGCCGAGGTGGGAGGATCACCTGAGGTCAGGAGTTGGAGACCAGCCTGACCAACATGGCAAAACCCCCTCTCTCTACTAAAAATACAAAAAATTAGCCAGGTGTGGTGGCAGAAGCCTGTAATCCCAGCTACTCGGGAGGCTGAGGCAGGAGAATCGCTTGAACCTGGGAGGCAGAGGTTGCAGTGAGCCAAGATAATACCACTGCACTATAGCTGGGGCAACAGAGCAAGACTCCATCTCAAAAAAAAAAAAAAAAATCTCTTGTGTTTCCCACCAATTCCACTGTGATGAGAATTTTAAAATTCTGAAACATTTCAAACATGCGCAAAAATAGAGAGATTAGTAAAATAAACCCCTAACTCTCTTCCTGCTCCAAGTGCCTATCACCCAGAATAAGAGCTCTGTAAATAATGTTTCTTTTCTGTTTTCCTTCCTCCCTCCAGGCTCTGACAGCTCCATTCTCTGTCCCCAAGCGCCATGAGAGGCCTTCTTTGCTGTCTCGTGTTGCTGTTCCTTCTTCAGCCCTGGGAAAGCCAGCTCCAGTTGGCAGGTGAACTGGGGCCCAGACCTCACCAGTGGGAGGAGGGGAGCGGAAGCAGGTCCTTCTTCTGCAGCCAGCTCCTCCTGCTGGGGAGAGGGAAGCAAGGGCTTTGCAACATATGGGACTGGGTTTAAGTTTCCCACTTCAACTTTCTGGGCCCCAGTTTCTTCATCTGTAGGATGTGGCTTAGTTTTGGGCACATGCAGTAACTGCCCATTGGGTTTTTAATTTGGAAAAATTATTTGAAAACATGAAAAAACCAGGAAATTTTACATAAAAATCCCTGTTCAGTACTTCTCTTGAAAAATCCAGGAATCTGCTAGCATCCAGTTTGCAGGCGCATGGCAGCATTTGGATGGAGCTTCCTGCCCAATTAGGAGTGATAGGGGCTCTTTGGGTCTCCACCGTCCTAATCCAACCAGTTCATCCATGTTCCCTGCCTGGTCCCTGCAGGCTTTGAGTTTGCGACGCTTCCTTGCCCCCTCGTCAATGGGTAATACCTCCTCAGAATAGCCCTCAGAGCTGTAAGATGAGGGAATTTGTGAAATCTCCTAGCCCAGGTACTAGGCACATGCCGAGTGAGTGCATCTATCTAATCTGCGTTTGCTGTGCTGGGCGCTGTTATGCCGGCATAGCAGCATTTCCTCTGGGTTTCCCTGGGGTTCTCCTCGGAGGTGAGGCTTTGCTGACCTAGGAGAGTCCTCACTGATCTCCCCGCAGGTCCCAGGTGTCACACTGGGCCCCTGGATCTGGTGTTCGTGATTGACAGCTCCCGCAGCGTGCGCCCTTTCGAATTCGAGACCATGCGGCAGTTCCTCGTGGGCCTCCTCCGAGGCCTGAACGTGGGTCCCAACGCCACGCGCGTTGGCGTGATCCAGTATTCGAGTCAAGTGCAGAGCGTCTTCCCTCTCCGTGCGTTCTCGCGCCGCGAGGATATGGAACGCGCCATCCGTGACCTGGTGCCGCTGGCGCAAGGCACCATGACGGGACTGGCAATCCAGTACGCCATGAACGTGGCCTTCAGCGTGGCCGAGGGCGCGCGCCCGCCAGAGGAGCGTGTGCCGCGCGTCGCTGTCATCGTGACAGACGGGCGGCCCCAGGACCGCGTGGCCGAGGTGGCGGCACAGGCCCGCGCCCGCGGCATTGAAATTTACGCGGTGGGGGTGCAGCGCGCTGACGTGGGCTCCCTGCGCGCCATGGCATCGCCTCCGCTAGACGAGCACGTCTTCCTCGTAGAGTCCTTCGACCTCATCCAGGAGTTCGGCCTGCAGTTCCAGAGCCGGCTGTGTGGTGAGTTAGGAGGGTGCTGGAGTGAAGCTCGAACTCTTAATCCAAATGCTTGGATTCCTTTTCCACCACAGTAAATGCCATCCCGTGGGGTGGCCCCGCGCTTTCCAGTTAGAGCTGCTCTGACCTACCGCAGGCTGTGTCAGATTTCAGCGCTGACCACTTCTGCTCAGGCTCCATCAACAAGGAGCAAACTATAGTTTCTTGCCCTGCCCGCCACAGCTTACCACAGGCTTAATGTCAAACTCCAGCACCAATCCCCTGCACACAAGGAACCAGTGATTCTCAAAGCTAAGAGAGATGGCCACAGCTCCAAAGAGTCGTGGCGCTCCCACGTGGGGATGGCTTCTTCTGTTATCATCTTAGCTCCTCCCACAAATGCTACAAGAGCTGTTCCAGTCACGTTTTGAGTTTATTCCGCCCATCTCGATTTAACACCTCTCCACCTCCTACCCACTCCTGCCCCTGCGTAGTCCTGTCTTAGCCCACTGACATGTCTAATTGGGTGCCTCCTCTTCTGAGCCTACTCACAGGGGCTCCTTAAGCCTTATTATTTCCCTAAGCCCTCCCATTTGGTATGGCCTCTCTCAAATTAGTTATTTACTTCTGAAAGCCATTTGAAGGTGATGCCTGCCTCTGACCCCATCCCCATCCAGCTCTCTCTTGTTGGAGACTTCTGCCCATCTGTTCCCTGCTGATTCTAGTCCTGTGTGTCCTCAGGGAAGGACCAGTGTGCTGAGCCGGGACATGGTTGCCAGCACCAATGTGTCAATGCCCCGGGCACGTTCCACTGCACCTGCAACCCGGGCTACAAGCTAGCAGCAGATAACAAGAGCTGTTTGGGTGAGAGCTACCCCTGTCCTGCAATCTCACTGCTCCTGAACTTTCTTTAAATCTCCATTGCCCCAACATCAGACCAATGAGTCTGGAAGGGCCTTTGGCAGTAAAAGCACACATTCATCGCTTTACAGACCTAAGAAAGAAAGGTATTGCTTGGGTTCACACAAGTCCCTGATGGGAGCCCACAGTTCAGTGTGCTTTCTGCCCTCTTTCTCGCTGTTTTCAGACCAGTCTCCAATTCTCCTCCCAAACTTGTTTCTGTTGTCCTCTCCTCTCCTCTTCTCTCCTTTCCTTTTTGAGACAGAGTCTTGCTCTGTTGCCCAAGCTAGAGTGCAATGGTGTGATCTTGGCTCACTGCAACCTCTGCCTCCTGGGTTCAAGTGATTCTTGTACCTCAGCCTCCCAAGTAGCTGGGATCACAGGCACCCACCACCACACCCAGCTATTTTTTGTATTTTTGGTAGAGACAGGGTTTCACCATGTTGGCCAGGCTGATCTCGAACTCCTGACCTCAAGTAATCTGCCCACCTTGGCCTCTCAAAGTACTGGGATTACAGGCATGAGCCACCGCGCCCGGCCGTTTCTGTCTTCTTACAGGCACGTCCTTACAGTTTCTCTTCTTAGATACTGTTGGGGGGTCTTTAGTTAGGTGGGACTCCCCACTCATGCCGCCCGTGAGCTCTTTGTGTGCTGCTTACCTGAGCTGCCCTTGCTGCTCCCCTCTGCCCTTGAAAATCTTTCAAGATTCTCTCTCTTTTAAGAGATAGGGTCTTGCTATGTTGCCCAGGCTGGTCTCACACTCCTGGGCTCAAGAGATCCTCCTGCCTTGGCCTCTCAAAGTGCTGGGATTACAGGTCTGAGCTGGTTCTTCATTTTTGTCTTCTGAAAAGCTATGGCACAGAATACCTTGCTTACGCAATTGGGTTTTTTACTGAGTGCCAAGTTAGTATTAGACATTGTGCTAGGAGCATTACACACATTATTATCTCTCAGCCTCACAACAACCTGGGAAAAGAAATCATGTCATCCTGATAACCCAGATGTCAGCCGGGGTCTTCTTGTTTCTAGAAACTAAAAGTTGGCTTGAACTCTGATTTGATGACTGTTTAACATTCAAATCCCTCTCCAAGACCTCTGAAAATCCCCCAAGTGCTTACGTTCTGGTGGTCACCTCTTGCTGTGAGCCTCTGCTAAATTCATTTGATTTATGGATCCTCTCTCATTTCTCAACCCTGCACATGCTGTTCTTATTCCATGCGTGTTCATCAACCTCTTCTTTGGCTTACATACTTGTATGCAAGGGCACACACAAGTGTGTATGTGCTAAGTAACTCATAGCGCACACACACACACACACAGAAAAACTCATTATAATTAAATATTAGACAGCTTTGTTTCTAAAAGTCCTCAGTCAGCCCAGTACAAGGGATTTTTCACAGGCAGCCTCAACCCACAGAGTTACTCATCTTCATACTGGCTCTCTTGTTCTTTTTTTTTTTTTCTCTCTCTCTCTCTCCACTCTCATCTCCTTTCCAGGAACCCCAAATACTCACTTTTTTATACAGGGTAATTATCATGTCTCCAGTCCAGCTCTCGGCCATCTTTACCTGTCCAGACCATCAAGATGCTCAACAGGGCAATAGTTCCCCAACTTCCACAGAAGGAAGCTGTGAATAGCAATCATTCTTTTCCATTATATTCCCATTTTGCAAATAGAAAAATGGAGGCTCAGACAGGTAAAGTGGCCAAACCTGTCCTCTGTAAGTCAGAGAGCATCTTGAGGACAGGGGCCCTGACTAATTAGGTCAGGATTATTGGGGTTGGGGCCCAGGTATAGGTATTCTTACAAATTTCCTCAGGTGGTTGTGCTACCAGAGCTGAGAAGGGCAGCCCTGGGCATAGACTGACCCCATCTCTTCCTCAGCCATTGACCTGTGTGCTGAAGGAACCCATGGATGTGAGCACCACTGCGTCAATTCCCCGGGCTCCTATTTCTGTCACTGCCAAGTTGGCTTTGTACTCCAGCAGGACCAGAGGAGCTGCAGGGGTGAGCAACACCCCCGCCCTCCCACCACACCCTGGACTGTGGCCTCCGAGGGCTCCAATCAGAGGCAACATCTTGCTGTTTCTTCCCTCCTGCCAGCCATTGACTACTGCAGCTTTGGCAACCATAGCTGTCAGCATGAGTGTGTTAGCACCCCTGGTGGGCCACGGTGCCACTGCAGAGAGGGCCATGACTTGCAGCCCGATGGGAGGAGCTGTCAGGGTGAGACGGCCTCTCCTACATTTGTGGGAGGGGTAAGAGATCTTAGCTGGTGGGGTCCATCCTGACTCATCCTGACCTGTCTCTCCTTTCAGTCCGGGACCTTTGCAATGGCGTGGACCATGGCTGTGAGTTCCAGTGTGTGAGCGAGGGCCTCTCCTACCGCTGCCTGTGCCCCGAGGGGCGGCAACTTCAGGCAGATGGCAAGAGCTGCGACCGTGAGTAATGGGTGGGAGGGCGTTCTATTGGCTTCTGTCCCGTTGCCCACATTCAGAGTGTCCTTGACTTTGCCCTTGCTGTGGCCCTTAGGCTGTGGTGTGAATGTGTGTGTGTGGTGGGGGTGACATTGGAGGGTATGCCATTCCCTGCCTCCATCTCTTTTCTACAATCCTCTATTCTGCTGTCAATGTTAATTTAAAAAATACATACTAGATTACATTCCTCCTTCGTGCACAAGCCTTATATGGCTCACCAATGCCTACAGAAGAAAGATCAAATGACTTACCCCTAAGTGTTTCAAATGGTGAGCAGAACCACATTAATGAATAATGAAATCAAATCTCTGGGTTACAACCAACATTAAAAAAATAAAGAATGGAAGACAATATAGAGTTTACTGCCTGTAGAGTTATATTATTTCTGAAACTTTAGTTCTATGTGAAATGTCTCTTGATGTATTATCATTATTATTATTTTTACTGTGGGCTGTGATAAAAATTTTGAAACCACTGCCTTAGGTCATCACGATCTAGCTTCAGCCAACTCCATCTGCCCATCTCCTGCCACACTTGAACATTTCAGTCTTACTGGCCTGCCCCTCCCTGGATGTGTCAGGAACTCCCTAGATCCCAAGCCTCTGCACATGCTGCATCCCACCTTCTAGACTGTCCCTTACTGCTTTGACAAACTCCTACTGATCTTTCAAGACTGTCTTGGTTCATTCAGGCTGCTATATCAAAGTACCATAGACTAGGTGGCTTAAACAACATTTATTTTTCACAATTCTGGAGGCTGAGGAATCCAAGACCACGGTGCCGGCAGATATGGCGTCTAATGAAAGCCTGTTTTCTGATTTTTAGATGGCACGCCTTTCAAAGCCTCCCCATGCCAACACAAGCACACACACACACACACACACACACCAGTCTTCTTGCTGTGTCCTCACATGGCGAAGACAGGAAGCAAGCCCTCTTCAGACTCTTTTTTTTTTTTTGAGACTGAGTCTCCCTCTGTTTCTCAGGCTGGAGTGCAGTGGCACAATCTCGGCTCACTGCAACCTCCGCCTCTGGGGCTCAACTGATTCTCCTGTTTCAGCCTCCAGAGTAGCTAAGACTACAGGTGCGTACCACCATGCTTGGTTAATTTTTGTATTTTTAGTGGAGATGGGGTTTTGCCATCTCAGCCAGGCTGGTCTCAAACTCATAACCTCAAGCGATCTGCCTGCCTCGGCCTCCCAAAGTCCTGGGAGCCACCAAGCCTGACCTCTTCAGATTCTTATAAGGACAGTAATTTTACTCATGAGCGCTGTACCCTCATGTCCTCATCTAATCCTAATTACCTCCACAGATCTCACCTCCCAAGACTAAAATTAAAACATAGGGTTTCAACCAATGGATTTTGGAAAACACACTCATTCAGTTTATAACAAAAATCAGATAGAATGCCATCACCTCCATGCAGCCTTCCTTAACAACTCCAGGAAGAATGCACTATTCCTACCTTGGGGTCCCTGAATGCTCTTCTCTTCTAGCACTTTCCTTGACCAGAGCATATGGCGTGTCTGACTTGCTCTGCTCCGTCCTCATGGATCAGGATTATGTTTTAATTCTTTCAAAACGTTTCAAAACCTCCCCACGCCAACACACACCACATTTTGGTCCTAGCAGATTCCCTGGCTCGGAATAGGGGAGGTGACATTGTAGAGTCATTCAGGAGCATGGGTTTTGGAGTCAGACGGACCTGGCTTCATGTCTTGGCTTAGTCAGTACTAGCTATGAAATCGGGGGCAATCACTTTATCCATCAGAACCTCAGGTTATAGAAAATGGGGACAATACTCAAGCTTATTGGGAGAATTGAGAATATATATAAGCACTTCACCCAGTACCTGGCACATCGTAAGCTGTCGGTAAATAATGGTTTTGTTATTATTATTGTTAATACTGGTACATGCTTAGAAGTGTGCCTGATACATAGTAGATGATCAATAAATGGTAGTTATTGTGGTCATTATGATTGTTGTTAAAAAGATGCTTTTAGCAAAGTGTCTGGTTTGTTCTAAGCACTGAATAAATGTCAAGGGCGATGATGATGATGATAATGTTGATAATTATTATTATTTAGCACACTGCCTGGCACAGGAAGGACTCAGGAAATGTTATCTGTTATATAATAAATGTTTGCGAATGAACGACTAGATGGATAGACAGCTGCTGCCAATCAAGAATCTGGTCCCTCAATTCAAGCTCTTCTGGCTGTGCAGGGTGCCGGGAAGGCCACGTGGACCTTGTTCTGCTGGTTGACGGCTCCAAGAGCGTGCGTCCACAAAACTTCGAGCTGGTGAAGCGCTTCGTGAACCAGATTGTGGACTTCCTAGACGTGTCCCCCGAGGGCACGCGCGTGGGACTGGTGCAGTTCTCGAGCCGCGTGCGCACCGAGTTCCCTCTGGGTCGCTACGGCACCGCAGCCGAGGTGAAGCAGGCGGTCCTGGCTATGGAGTACATGGAACGCGGCACCATGACAGGGCTGGCGTTGCGGCACATGGTGGAGCACAGCTTCTCAGAGGCACAGGGTGCGCGGCCCCGTGCCCTCAACGTGCCTCGCGTTGGCCTGGTCTTCACAGATGGCCGCTCCCAGGATGACATCTCGGTGTGGGCAGCGCGTGCCAAGGAGGAAGGTGGGCTTGGCATGGGACACAGTGGGCTGGGGTTGGGTCAGACGCGGGCAGGCAGCTTTCCCGAGGCCTAGGGCACCCTCTGAGTCCCTGGCCCTGTAGGCATCGTCATGTATGCCGTGGGCGTGGGCAAGGCGGTGGAGGCGGAGCTGCGTGAGATCGCCTCGGAGCCAGCTGAACTGCACGTGTCCTACGCCCCCGACTTCGGCACCATGACGCACCTGCTGCAGAACCTCAGAGGCAGCATCTGCCCAGGTGAGCGCATCTCTCTCGGGGCTCCTCCTGTCTCTCATTGCCCGCCCTCTGATATCTCCCCTTCCTATTCAATCCCTACCTCCTCTGTAGTTATAGCCAGAGGTTAGGCTTACTAGACAGAGCTTTGCTACTCCAGATGTGGTCCGCAGGCCAGCGGCAGGGCGGTCACCCAGTAGCTTCTTAGAACTGAGGCGTTTCTGGTGCTCTCCAGACCGAATGAATCAGAATTTGCACTTCGACAAGATTCTCAGGTGATTTGTAAGCATATTAAAGTCTAAGAAATCCTAGACTAGGCTACCAGTCCCCCAAATCAGTGGAGGTTCAGAATAATTTGGGAATTTTTTTTTCAAGGCACAGCAGACAGCATTTGTAAGTGGAGTCACAGCATATATCCCCTGAACTTGTTAGAATTCAACCCAAAGTGGCAGGACTGGGTATATTTTAAGTATGCAAAGGCATGTCTTTTTCTTTTCTTTTCTTTTTCTTTTCTTTTCTTTTTCTTTTTCTTTTTTTATGTGGACAGCATACCTCATAAGTGCAATCCCTCTACTTCATCATCTGGTGCTCAGCTGAGGAAAAGGAGACTAACTCTACTTGTGGAGGAGAAGGGGGCTCTTGAGTCCTGTGTACTGTGCTCTAGGTGATATAGGGAATGTCTCCAGGGTAACTTTTACTCTAGAGACTTTAGACACTAACCCAGGCTTAAGATGTGATTCTTCTTCCAGTTTATTGGGCTCCAGCTCCAGAAACAGACGAAGTAGGGCTGGTCTGGGTCTGGAGAATCTGTCTTTTTTTTTTTTTTTAAATAAATATATGTTAGTGGAGTGGGCGCAGCTGGCACATGGCCTGTAATCCAGCACTCCTGGGAGCCCGGGCAGGCGGATCACTTGAGATCAGGAGTCGAGACATCCTTTGGGCCCAACATGTGAAACCTGCACTTACCAAAAGTATTTAAAAATCAGCTGGGCAGGCCAGAGAACTGAGGCAGGAGAATTTGCTTACCTGGGGAGGTGCGGGAGTTGCGTTGAACTGGATTGCACCACTGCACTTCCAGACCTGGCCTGAAGAGTGAGACCCTGTCTCAAAAAAAAAGTATATGTTAATATGCTATATGTGCTGTTATTACTATAATAACTATTGTCTATTGTGACGCGCACACAGCAGCGGCATGTATTACAGATACAAACTTACACACACATCCTTTCCCCAAACTCTGCTTCCTTCCCGGGGGGGCCTTCCAGGCCTAATTCTAATATTGCTGGCTCTTTTCAGTATAGGGTCTTTCAGAGCCTTCTTGCCTGCTGCTGACTCTTACACGGGCCATCAGGGTATGGACTGGACAAGGTCACATTACCACCTCCGTTACTTTTGTCTGAGTACAGAGGGGAGGCACCTGCTCGTGTCCAAGTGTTACCTGCTAGCTCTTGGATGTTCTAGAGGAAGTCTGGGTTTCTGTGGGTTTGAGCTTCTTTACCAATTGGGTGTGGGATATGACTGTCCCGTTCCCAACCCTTTGTTTCGTCTTTATCTGCTGAAGTTAGGGGTCTTTTTGGATTGTTACTCAATAACAGACCTTACAGCCCAGGTTTGCTTCATGAGTACATATAAGCACTAAGATTGGAAGACCAACTTTAAATCATTGTTTTCAAGGTTAAATGGGCCAGGGGCACTCTTGCTGTTTATTATTGTCTACTACCTGCTAATCCTTTTTTCTTTTGTTTCCTAAGGTACTTTTGTTGTAGCATTTTTTTTTTCTGCCCGTCTATTCCCTGTATCTCTCTCTCTGTCTTATTTTTTTTTTTTCTCCTTTCGAGATGAAGTCCTTCTGTATGGCCCAGGGGCTGGGAGGCGTGGGTTTTGCCGATCTCGGCTCTACTGCAACCTCCGCCCTCCCAGGCCTTCAGAACGTTCTCCTGCCCTTCAGGCTCTCGCCAGTTAGGCTGGGCCACCATCAGGTGCGTGCCCACCACACCCCAGCCTAATTTTTTGTCATTTTGTAGAGATGTTTTGTTAGGTGTCCTTGTTAGCCAGGATAGGTCTCGATCTCACTGGGTCTCATAATCCACCCCCCCGCCTCTAGGTCTCCCAAGTGCTTGGGATTACAGGTGGGTGAGCCGCACTGTGTTCCAGCGTCCCTGTAATTGTAACAATGGCACATCGCTTATTAGATTTTCAGTGAATCTTAACGATAACCATTTCATTTAAAGATTCCACATATTTTATGTCTGCTATAGAAAAAACATGTGCCAATCTTTAATTGTAGGACCTCCTGCCCCAACCCAGATGTTGATGTTGTGGGAGATAGAGTTGGATCAGGGTGATGCTTCCTAAAGTTAGGTCAACCACGAATCACCTTGGTGGGGCTTTAAAAACAAATTGGGGGGCTGGGTACGGATGACTGACGGGCTGTAATCCAGCACTTTGTGGCGAGGCTGAGGTGGCGCGGATCACGAGGTCAGGAGATGCAAGACTCCTAGCGGAATCACAGTGAAACCCGTTCCCTACTAAAAAATACAAAATAGCAGACGCATGGTGGCACGCGCCTGTAATCCCAGCTACTATTGGGAGTCTGAGGCGAGGAGAATCACTTGAACCCAGGAGGTGGAGGTTTGCAGTGAGCTGAGATTGCGGCCATGCACTCCAGCCTGGGTGACAGAGCTCAAAAAACAAAACAAAAACAAACACAAATTGCTGGGCTTCAATTCTAGATTTTCTAATTCAGTAAGTCTGGGGTGTTGTCTGGTAATTTGCATTTTTGATAAATTCCTACACGATGCTGATGCTGCTGGTCCAAGGACCACACTTTGAGAATCACTGGTCTAGTTGAAATACACTATAAAGCAGTGGTTCCCAATCTTTCTGGCACCAGAGAGTGGTTTTGTGGAAGACAATTTTTCCATGATGTGGTGGGGAAGATGGTTTTGGGATGACTCAAGCACATTACATTTATTGTGCACTTTATTTCTATTATTACTTTGTAATATACAATCATGTAATAAACAGATCATCAGGCATTAGATTTCCATAAGAAGGCTGCATGCACTAGATCCCTCACATGCACAGTTTACAATAGGGTTTGTGCTCCCATGAGAATCTAACAATGCCATTGATCTGACAGGAGAGGAGCTCAGGTTGTAATAGGAGTGATGAGGAGCGGCTATACATACAGATGAAGCTCTCTTGCCTGCTGGCTGCTCGCATCCTGCTATATGACCCAGTTCCTAACAGGCCATGGACTGGTACTGGTCCATGTAATGTGCTGGTACTGGTCCATGGCCTGGGGGTTGGGGACCCCTGCTGTAAAGTATTTACTTGAACAAGGCAGTGTTCTAGATCTGTGCTTTTTCACAAAGGTAGGCAGTATCTATTTAATTACAATTGATTAAAATAAAATACATTTTAGTCCTTTAGTAGCACCAGTCACATTTAAAGTGTTAAACAGCCACATGTAGCTTGTGGCTACTGCTTTGGACAGGGCGAGTGTAGAACACTTTCATCGTTGCATAAAATTTTATTTGGAGAGTGCTACTCAAAGTGTGGTCCGCAGACCAGGAGCGTCAGCATCATTTGGGAGCTTGTTAGAAATGTACCTTCTGAGCTCCTTCTCCATTCTGAATCAGAATCTATATTTTAACAAGCTCTCCTGATGATTACAATGAGCATTAAGATTTGATAAACAGTCTTGTAAGTTTCGCGTGCGCGCACGCGCGTGCACACACACACACACACATACACAAGTGAATGAATCATCGAAGCCACTAATGCATACATTCTTTCATTATATCCATTTTATAGATGAGGAAACTGAGCTTAGAAAGGTTAATGAGTTTTTCAGTATCTCACAGCTACTTAGCTTGGGACTCAGCCCAGGTCTCTCTGAATCCAAAGCCCATATACTCAACCATAGGCCCAGTGCAGGGAAATCAGAGGGCCAAAGCTAGCGCAATTTCTCATCCCCCTGACCCTCTGTGCCCGGCTTACAGAGGAGGGCATCAGCGCAGGGACAGAGCTTCGGAGCCCATGCGAATGCGAAAGCCTCGTGGAGTTCCAGGGCCGCACTCTGGGGGCGCTCGAGAGCCTGACGCTGAACCATATCCTTTGGGGCTGGTGGCGCGGGCTGGAGGGAAAGTGAGGGGACCTCGGCGAACCCCAACGGCCTCCTTAACCGCTCACTGGCCCAGCTGACGGCGCGCCTGGAGCATCTGGAGAACCAGCTGGCCAACCAGAAGTGAGGGCCACGGGCGGCCCAGACCCAGGCTGGGGCGCGGCACCATGGACAGTGCGCCGGGGCCAGGCAGAACCTGGGCCCGTCGGACTTGGGCTGTCGGGGCGGAGGCGCTGGCGGGCTTCCGACACTGAGCTGAGCTGGCCTCGCCCGGACCATTAGGCGGACTGCTGGGCCAGGGGGATAGCGGGTGGTGGCGGAAGGGGCACGTGCTAGACCGGCATGCCCTCGCCGCGTGCTGCGCTCAGTTCTTTGTTGGATTTATTTGTTTTCTTAAAAAAAGAAAAAAAAAGAAAAAAATCTGATTTCCACAGGGTTCGTTTTTGGGGCTTGCTGCGCCGCCAGGGGGAGGGGAAGCCAGACGGAGCGCACTCTGGCGGCGCCCGGGCGGCGTCTCCTTGGAGAAAGGCGCATTGTGAGGGGGTCGGGCTCGGGGGCAGGAGACCCGGCGCTGCTTCTTCCCCCTGCTTGTTTATTCAGCCGAGAACAGATGGCTCCTTATGCAGGCTGCAGGAAGGGAGGGGGCTCAACAGGAATCCTTGGGGTCTGAGCAAGCCTGCGCCATCCCATTCCCCAGCGGATTGAACGCTTCGCTCTCCGGCCAGGCCTATCCCATAGTGCCCCCAAATCTGGCTCAAAAGCTGCTAGGACTGTGTGCTGGTGGGGGTGCGGGGTGGGGGTGGCATTGGTGGGAAAGTGAGAGGCAGTAATTGAGCCCCTAAATGGATGGGGTGGGAGTGGATAGATGAGCTTTGCCCGATTTTAACTCCCTCCTGTACTAGGTAGGAAGAGAAGGAGGTATCAGGACCCCTGTCTGCCCAGCCTGTGGCCTTCCTTCTGTCACCCTGCCAACCCCTCCCAAAACACCTCTATCAGCAAAGAACACAAACCAGTACCATTTCCCAGGTGCATGCAAGAAACCACGAAGTTTAAAATGCTTCCAGTCCTAGAGTGATTTGGGGAAAATTATTTTGTGTTTGTTTCCTCATCTGCAAAGTGGAGATTGAAATTTTTACCCCCAAGGGTGATGGGGAGAATCAAGGACATTCTTCTAAGGCATGTGACATTGTGCCTGGTACCTATCAGGCCCTCAATTAATAGTAGCTATTAACTATTCTTATAGTAACAGCTAACGTATTTAGTGTTGGGCGTTATTGTAACTGATTTGCGGGTATTTTCATTTTATACTTGCAACCACCTTGGGAAATAAGAATTATTGCCTTTATCATCCCCATTTTACAGATGACACCGAGGCATAGAAAGGTTAAGTTTCCAACAGTAAAATAACCAGTACGAAGCTGAACCAGGATGTTTCCTGTGGCTGCTCTAATAAGTTACCACAAATTGCGTGGCTAACAGCACATATTTATTACCTCACAGTTTTTAAGTCAAAAGTCTAAGATATGTTGGCAAGGGTTTATTCCTTCTGGAGACTTTTGTTTCCTGGCTTTTTCCAGCTTCTAGAGCCTACCTGAATTCCTTGGGTAATGGCCCTACATCACTTCAGCCTCAGTTTCCATCAG